TCCCACAGGAGCAATTAACACAATTAAAATATGATGTTGTCTCCTCTAAAGATAACCAGAACCTCCGTGAATACATCATCGATTTTATTGTAAAAATTACTGATGTCTTTTCAAACAGAGCAACTTCAAAACACTCGGCCACTTTACTCAAATTTATTTACACTGTGTGAGCCACGCCGAAACGTTTCTTTGTAACTACCACGAAAAATAATCAAACTAAAACCAAACCAAAGTCTCCAGGTGATTAAAAGCAAAAGGCCGCCCTCGAGGAGAACGCGACACCACAAAAATATTGTTTTCGAAACGTAACGGCATTAGCAGAGATTCTCAGTGAACGGATCGCAACAGTATTTTTCTAAATCAATATAAAAAAGAAAAAGAAAAGCCCTCTTCCAAATAATCGGTTAGTATACGTACTGTGCTTTCCAGTTTCCAGGACGTACTAAAAGTGTCGGAAATGGGAATTTTGCTACGCGTGTTTTATTTGTAACGAAAAACAAATCTTTTACTAATAAATGCCGAAAAATATAACTGGCGGGGGGTCTCCTACAAGAAAATCACCGATTAAAAAAGACTCTAAAACAGACAAATAGCGTTTATTAGCTTGTAAACCCCTTAATTTCTCAGTTATTTCGCAAGTGATTTCATAACACTTGGTGTCTAACTCACAGAATCACGGGCGTGCCACCACCTAGTGTAGCCCGCGAGCAAGCTCTCCTATTTGGGCGAGCGAAGCGAGCCGCGCGAGAACGCTCGAGCGAGCTGCGAACGCGCGAGCGACCGGCGAAGCCGCGAGGAGCCGGCGTGAGTGTTTCTGTTGCATGATAAAACTTGCACTTAGGAGTTTAGAATACCACAGCATTACAATAAAACTCCCTTACTCAAGCTAATTTTAACCGTTAAATTTCCACTTGGTGCGCAAGTGATTTCATAATGCAGTGGTGTCTGACTCACAGAATCACGGGCGTGCCACCTAGTGTTTCTGTTACTTTAAAAATTGCACTTGGGAGTTTAGATCACCATGGCATTACAATAACACTCGCTTACTCGAGCTAAAACATATCAGATATATTAACCATTAATTTTTTTCGCCACCTAGTGTTTCTGTTGCTTTGAAAAATCACACTTATAAAGGGACTGGTTGACGATAATGTGCATGTGTGAGTTCTGACAGTAGCTGATTGTTTTTCAACCAATCGGAAGCGAGTTAGATGCACGCAAGTAAATAATTACTTGTTCGCGACTCGAGAGTATTTCCGGGCATTTGGTTTGATTTTATTTATCCCCATAATTCAAGTTTATTCTTTGCTACTCCCCAGATATATATATGTTGCAGCCGATAAGAATAAGATTTACAGCCCTGTCCTGCTTTGAAACAAACATTTACCAAAATGTATTTTTACAAGGTCGTACCCACGCTAACAAAACAGTCACCGATCGGCAAACAAAATTTGTAAACAAACATCTTATTACTCTTTTCTCAGTTCGCCTTATATAAAACCAGAAATACCTAAAAATAGCGCCTGACCGGTGACAAAAACACACAACGTATGAGTATAAAGATTATCCTTAACTGAGCATAAATTTCAATTGCTTATCAGCAAATTAACAAATTCATTCTCGTTGCATCGGGTCAGTGTTCTGCAAAACAAATGTTATCGAGTAGCACACATAAAGAAACTAGATTATAAACAGAACATTCAGGCAATAATTTATTTTAAAAACATCAATTCTTACACATATACGATCGTAAAGCAAAGATACAATGAACATTTCAAGTGTACCAGATCGGTGAAGATCGCGCGGCCTGTTGCGGTATAACTACAGGTCGGAGTCAAAAATCAAATCAAAGTTGGACGAACTCATGCCTTTAACCACTTTCCAAGTGTCGTGTATTGTTTTCGTATGCCACACACTACCCCTAGAACCATACCAGATCGATAGGCTAAGCTTCTCTATCTCCAGAGACTCTTGAGAACGTCCTGTTGCCGGACGGCCACGATGCTCTTCTGAACCTCCATGATCAAAACATTATTTTTTGCGTCTTTTTAAAACGTAACCAGTCAAACGACACAACCACACGTTAATCACCACTACCGAAGTATAACTAGACCAGCCAAAGCGACGGATAAAACGAATAAAACGAAGGATTTTAAATGATTGTACCGGTAATGGCGATTTTGAAGTTAGTGTTAGGCTCGATTTCCGCCGTCTCCCGGGTCCGGTCTTTGATGAGTGCGGGCTCATTTTCCCGAACAGCGGCTGGTAATCGAGCGTAAGTTAGTGTTGACCCGACAAATTTATTCTGAAGAGACAAACGGCGCGCATGCGCATTATCGTGACCAGTCCCTTTAAGAGTTTAGAACACCATGGCATCACAATAACACTCGCTTACTCAAGCTAAAACATATTAACCTTTAAATTTCCACTTGGTGCGCAAGCGATTTCATAATGCCGTGGTGTCTGACTCACACAATCACGGGCGCGCCACCTAGTGTTTCTGTTTAAAAATTGCACTTAAGAGTTTACATCACCATGGCATTACAATAACACTCGCTTACTCGAGCTAAAACATATCAGACATATTAACCTTTAATTTTCTTCCGTGCGCAAGTGATTTCATAATACTGTGGTGTCTAACTCACAGAATCACGGGCGCGCCACCTAGTGTTTCTGTTGCTTTAAAAATGCACTTGGTAGTTTACATCACAATGGCATTACAATAACACTCGCAAGTTACTCGAGCTAAAACATATCAGACATATTAACCATTAATTTTCTTCCGTGCGCAAGTGATTTCATAATACCGTGGTGTCTAACTCACAGAATCAGGGGCGTGCCACCTAGTGTTTCTGTTACTTTAAAAATTGCACTTAGGAGTTTAGATCACCATGGCATTACAATAACACTCGCTTATTCGAGCTAAAACATATCAGACATATTAACCATTAATTTTCTTCCGTGCGCAAGTCATTTCATAATACCGTGGTGTCTAACTTACAGAATCACGGGTGCGCCATCTAGTGTTTCTGTTCCTTTAAAAATTGCACTTAGGAGTTTTCATCACCGTGGCATTACAATAAAACTTGCTTACTCGCCGGCTAAAACATATCAGACATATTAACTATTAATTTTCTTCTGTGTGCAAGTGATTTCATAATACCGTGGTGTCTAATTCACAGAATTACGGGCGCCCCACCTAATGTTTCTGTTGCTTTAAAAATCGCACTTAGGAGTTTAGAACACCATGGCATTACAATAACACTCGCTTACTCGAGCTAAAACATATCAGACATATTTACCCTTAATTTTCTTCTGTGCGCAAGTGATTTTTTTTTCCTGCAATATATAGCTTTTTTTGACTGGATAACGAGTTAAATAGCGGCAGCGGCGAGATTTGGTAATTTTTGGCAATTTCACTATTCGACCGAATCCATTTGATCGCTTGGTCTTTGTGTTTTCTGCCTCTACTATGACATCTTAAGGAATTCAGGCCGAGTTACTCCTAACAATAGTATTTCCGCAATGTATTGTATGTAGGCCGTTTGCACACGCTTGACATCATTGACAACAGATCATACATAATAGTCATCAAACAAATGCAGGCGGATTAGAAGATCTAACGTTTTCTATATCAAAATGCCTACCAGACTGCCGATGAATAGTACGACTTACACCTTTTTTTCGTAATATCGTTAGGCTCAGAAACATTTTCAAGGCATAGGAAGACCGTCTTCCTCTCCCAATGTCATCTAAACCTACCCAGACGCACACACCGTCCTTTACGATCATCTCAAGAATGCAATGCTGGCTTTGATTTCATCAGAGTTCAAATCATAATGTTACACTTCTTCCATACAAAGAAAATGTCAATTATTATTTCCATTGTTTTGGTTAAATTTTTAACTATAGAGAGTTGAATGTACAGGATTGCATCATAAGGAGGCCATAAAAGTACGAGCACAACGCACCAGCGAGTGCCTGACACGCGATTCACTGCGGAAACTGCTGTTTAGCAAGCTCAGGCCAAAAAATTGGTTGAATCTGCAAGCACAAAGCCTTCGAGATCAATGATTACAATTTTTTTTGGCATCTATCTTTCCTTTATGATAAGTAGTATGCTGTGTGTTCACGGACCGCGAGTGATACATAATAAACATTTTGAACCAACGCTTTTATCTAGCAACATTCGTCCGATTCTATTTGAGTTCCGCGACCTTCAATACAATCAATACAATATGGAACTACGCTACATTTTAATACTGGCAAAGACAAGAAACAGGGGCACCCAACGTCAATTTTTAGAAAATATCTGTTCGGAAGACGATTTGAGATCTAGAATATTCGGAACAATTTTTGTAAAATTTCTTGTTTGTCTGCCTCTCCTAGGATTTTCGAACATCTAAAAAATGGTATAGTTGCCCATTTTTAACGGATTTTTAGCCTAAAAAGGTCACCTAGAAGTATTCGGGAGCCTTGTTTTCTGGCCGAAAATTTCGAAAAGGTAATTTTTGATCCCTAAAATTTTCGGATCACTAGACTTTCAGCTACGAAATCCGAACAGATGAAAATTTTTAGGGGATAAAAATATGCCTATGTCTACCGTTTAAATACTACAATACGTTCAACTATGCTATGTTTAAGTGGTTTTGAACTATATTCTCGTTGGGTGCCCCTGCAGAAAGACAACGCTTGAGTCGTAACCCATGCCATCTTTAATAACAAGGGTAATAATAGCTCTGATCGATCCGATTTTGTCCATGTTGTTGACACTCTTAGGCTACGTCTGGGCTGCCTGTGTTGGCACTAGCTCACCAGCAAATGCTGCAGGGATGGGAGAGGTGTGTTTGTGCATCGGGGCATTTGACCGACGGTCTGGACGCTTGGTTACACTAATCGGATAGGTAAATATGTGGCGCGATATTGCTTTGTTTTTCAGGGGTTTTTGTTCCATTCAGTGTTAATGCGACTGAGTTCTACAATATTACCCGTGTTTCTGGTCTCAACAACCCAATGACTGGCAATGATTTATCACAAGAAACGAGTCATAATTGTTGCCCTTATCTTCGCTTCTGCTCCGGCATGGATGGTTTTTGCCTACTTCACTATCACTTTCCATAATCAGGAACGCCCATCAGAGCTACAAAATGCACCTACCTTGGCAAATACTGCCCCTATAGTCATTATGGCAGCATTAAAAAATCAAACAGAAATCAACGACACAGATGACTCAGATGTAGACGAAACTCTCCATCAACTGATTGATTTTAAAGACTTGGGGAAGGATAAGAGAGCAGTATTGCTATTGATCATCGTTTCCACTGCAACAGCAAGATTTGAGAGAAGACAGGCAATAAGAGAAACATGGTGGAAACATTGTTCTGGCAATCAGACTCAGGTAAGCAGGCAAGATAGGTTCTTTGTCGCCAGTTATCTCACGATCTCACGATGATGTTTCTTTCAGTAATAACATTGGTGACGAATTACTCCTTAATTTTGGCCCGAAATTTCAGCGTTAATTTGTAATTTCACATATGAAATTACAAAATTGCCATGGCGACCCTTCCGTACGTCTGAGGGTCAAGATGGCGACGAAGTTTTAAAATGTCATGAATGAAGATGTCAGGGCACAAAAATTAAAGACGCTTTGGAAAAACTGAACACACAAGAGAACTCAAGAAGGATGCTAAGAGGTATTTTGCCGAAAAAGTCTGAAAAATTCTGAACTTTATAAGCCAAATTTAAGGTCTAAACATTTGAGAGAGTGGAGTTCTCGATCGATACGTTCCAGGATAGACATGTCAAAAATCCAAGATTGCTAACGTAATTCGTCACCCATGATATTAATAGGTAATCAAATGGTATACTCGTGAAACTAGGGCATAATTTCACTTGCCTCTTGTCCAAATCCTAATAATTTCCTTCGCCTAAAGGCTCAGGAAGTTATTAGGGTTTGGACAAAACGCGCGTGAAATTATTCCTTAATTTCACTCGTCACCATTTGATTACACATACTTATTCACAGCGAAATTTTCTACCAACGACGAAGACGACGGCAAAAAGCAAAAATCAACGGGTTTAGATTAGCAAAACAACAACTTTGCACGAGCAGCACCCTTTGTTTTTTGCACTTTCTTTAGTGTCGTTCAACGACCTCGACGTCAAATTTCTTATTTCCCGTTTTACACCGAGAACGTGAACAAAAGACACCGATTCGGAACCTGGATACAGTCCTTTTGGAATAAACCTTCAGAGAAATTCGCCAAAATTGGACAATTAAGGTGGCTCGATACAGTTTTTCAGAGTCAATACCTCCCAAGTTTGAGCATAAACTACGTCACCATAACCAAAGACTTGGAAAAATTGCCACCACGGTTGTATTAGATAAAGCACAGGTAACCCAGGCTCTGTGATAGTACCACAGTACAGTTCTAGTGAAATTACAGTGTTTGTATGGGGTAAAAATATGATCTTAAAATTTGTAGTAAATACTAAATATAAGTCAATGAAACTTACCGTGCAGTTAGTTGTTGTTGTCCTTATTGCTCCAACGAAGTTGCCTAGGCCTCATTTTCTTGGCCGCCCGTTGATCTGGCCCGGTTACTTCTGCGAGCATATTCTCGGCCTTTTTGGATTACATCCTTCGAGTTTGTCAAAGTCTGCGGGATTCGTTTTTCCATCTGGGAAAGCTTCATTGGTTTCTATATCTGCTGATATCCTATTACTACGATCCTGGCATGTTTATTTTCTGTTGGAGTTCGAATTTCGTGGAAAAAGTTGTGTTGAATGAGAGCATGGCGGCGAAGATGGAATCTTTTGTCTCCTACTGCTTGTATATTATAATTGTATATAGAGTGAATTTGAACAAATTAGTACAAATTATCACGAAACTTCGTTGGAGTAATAGGGACAACAACAACTAACTGCAACGTAAGTTTCATTGACTTATATTTAGTATTTCCTACAAATTTTACGATCGTATTTTTACCCAATACAAACACTGTAATTTTACTAGAACCATACTGTGGTACTATCACAGAGCCTGGGTTAGCTGTGGATAAAAATGAAAATTTGTTATGATCAAGGTTGCAACTACATCGGAGTTGTCATAGCAACGAAATGACGCTATTACCTATTTTACTTGCAGCAATATATCTCGGCCGCTAGGAACTGTTCTTCCAAAATCGTTCGCGGTTTCTTTTTCCTTTAATAGCGGCCTCGATGCTCGTCAAGTTTAAGCCAAATCTGTAAGAGCGTTATCGCGACTATTATGGGATGAAGTCTTTTTTTATGGCTAGAAACACAGTTAAAAATGGACAACCTTGATGTTTGGCCGTTATCTGTACAAAACAAAGCGCTTTAGACATGCAATTTTACCTCATGGTAGTTTCAACCTTTTTAAAAACGTTTGTGAAAGATCATGGAGATAACTCCAGCCGATTGCTAGAAAGAAGGATTTGATTACTAGGTATCGAAACGCTCTTGTTAGCGGTTTTGTAAACATTTAGGTCTTCTTTAACAAATTAGCGAATAATTTTTAAACCGCTCGATACATTTTTTTTAAAATTTAAGATTCTCGAGACTAACTTTCCTTTAATATGACCTTTTACTTTCAATATTATTGATAAATTGTAAGGCAGTAAAAAAAGGGCTACAATTCGTTTTTTTTTGTTCCGGGAAAGCTCGATGTGGGATTTCTATTCTATGGACATGAAGTGCTGCAAGTAGAGTGCGTGATAGTCAAGTACAAAGCTACCCGTCTAAACACATACATAACGTAGACGGGTAGTTAAAGTTGCTTCTGGTAGTAGTCGAAGGTTAAATCATTGATATCTCAAGTATTTATAAAGTGCAACACGGCTTCATATCTTAACAACTACGAAAATCTATCAATTAAATACATACAACAGTAGTATAGGGTGCACCACGGTTTCCACTTTTTTGAGCAGGAATCTCATAAGCGTGAGCAGGAATAGATTAACGCCAACGACGTCATAGGCTATTGTCTTGATCTCATGAATAAAATGCGCAGGAATCTCATTAAGATAAGGTCGTGTGTTATTTTTAGTTGGTTTAGGTTTTCTAGTTACTTTAATGTCGATAGACGTCTTCCTTTTCGATTGGTTAGTTAGAAAATAAGAAACGTTTTCATTGGTTAATTCATAGTGTCTAAGGAGTAAAGTCAAACTTGTCTGTGACTTAAAATCACTGAGACGTAACGTAATTATGCACTTCCTATTTCCTGCTGCTGTGATTGTCCTGTTACTTACCCCTCTCCTTTTCATTTTTTATTTTCCTCCTCCTCCACAATTTTGTTATTTTCCTTCCGCAATTTTTTTATTCCCATTTTTCTTTCCTCCTCCTCCTCCTCCTCATTTCTATTGTTTTCCCTACACCACCACCACCACCACCGCCACATTTCCATAGTTTTCCCTCCACCACCACCGCCACATTTCTATTATTTTCCCTCCACCACCACCACCACCACCACATTTCTATTGTTTTCCCTCCACCACCACCACCACATTTCTATTGTTTCCCCCACCACCACCACATTTCCATTGTTTTCCTTCCTCCTCCTCCTCCTCATTTTTATTGTTTTCCCTCCTCCTCCTCCTCCTCATTTTTATTGTTTTTCCTCCTCCTCCTCCTCATTTTTATTGTTTTCCCTCCTCCTCCTCCTTCTCATTTTTATTTTTTCCTCCTCCTCCTCCTTCTCATTTTTATTGTTTTCCCTCCTCCTCCTCCTCCTCCTCCTCCTCCACCTCTTCCTCATTTTTATTGTTTTCCCTCGAAAGGCCAAAGAGGCCAAAATCAGGCCTAAACGGCCTAAAAGGCCAAACTTGCAGGGAAAACACCAGAAATGAGGAGGAGGTGGAGGAGGAGAAGGAGGAGGAGGAGGAGGGAAAACAATAAAAAATGAGGAGGAGGAGGGGGAGGAAAAACAATAAAAATGAGGAGGAGGAGGAGGGAAAACAATGGAAATGTGGCGGTGGTGGTGGAGGAGGGAAAACAATAGAAATGTGGTGGTGGTGGTGGTGGAGGGAAAACAATAGAAATGTGGCGGTGGTGGTGGTGGTGGAAAAACAATAGAAATGTGGTGGCGGTGGTGGTGGTGGTGGTGGTGCAGGGAAAACAATAGAAATGTGGTAACAGTGGTGGTGGTGGAGAGAAAAGATAGAAATGTGGCGGTGGTGGAGGGAAAACAATAGAAATGTGGCGGTGGTGGTGCTGGTGGAGGGAAAACAATAGAAATGTGGTGGCGGTGGTGGTGGTGGTGGTGGTGGTGGTGGAGGGAAAACTATGGAAATGTGGTGGTTGTGGTGGTGGTGGTGGTGGTGGTGGAGGAAAAACAATAGATTTGTGGCGGTGGTGGTGTAGGGAAAACAATAGAAATGAGGAGGAGGAGGAGGAAAGAAAAATGGGAATAAAAAAATTGTGGAAGGAAAATAACAAAATTTTGGAGGAGGAGGAAAATAAAAAATGAAAAGGAGAGGGGTAAGTAAAGCATTGCTTGCAGTGTATAAAAAGAGCTAGTTTGCCTTTGCCCTCTTTAATATACACGATTTGTCCGCCAAAAATCAGTGAACCGGAACAAGGACAATCACAGCAGCAGGAAATAGGAAGTGCATAATTACGTTACGTCTCAGTGATTTTAAGTCACAGACAAGTTTGACTTTACTCCTTAGACACTATGAATTAACCAATGAAAACGTTTCTTATTTTCTAACTAACCAATCGAAAAGGAAGACGTCTATCGACATTAAAGTAACTAGAAAACCTAAACCAACTAAAAATAACACACGACCTTATCTTAATGAGATTCCTGCGCATTTTATTCATGAGATCAAGACAATAGCCTATGACGTCATTGGCTTTAATTTATTCCTGCTCAAGCTTATGATATTCCTGCTCAAAAAAGTGGAAACCGTGGTGCACCCTATACTACTTACAACAAAGTGAATCTATTAAACCGTGGAGTCCCAGAAACGTAACGCCTCAATACACCACAAATAGGATTTCCCGCTATAATATTTTCTTATCCTACTCGGGGTATTTACTTCATAATACGCGTGCATAATAACGCGAAAATCAAGGGCCTCGATTCGGGGAAAATTACATCATTGCCAAATAGCAAAAACGTAATCAACTTACATACGTCATTTCAGTCATCGCCAAAAATAAACCGCATGCTCATCACGAGACTCATTTGCATACAATGAAACTCATCACCATTCTTATCCCCAGTTTCCACGTCTCTGCTAGGAACGCTTGGGAGCATGGCGTCCTAACTGGTGCCCACACACATACAAAAATAAAGAAACGTCTGCATTTTTAGTCTAGCTGTGCTAAAGCAAGCTCTACTAAAAAGCTCCTCAATGAATCATTGGCGAAGGTGCCTTGGTTATAAATAGAGAAAACAGAATTGAAAGTCGTGAATCTGCTTTTCCAGAAAACGTTTAGTCTCATCATTTCATCATTTTTACCTCACCAAAGTATGGAATGTGTGTAAAAAGAGAGCTACACAACGGTAAGAATACTATTGACCAACAACATACAGAACAGGGGCAGCTGTAGTGTCAACTATGTATGTGTAATCAAATGGTGACGAGTGAAATTAGGGAATAATTTCACGCACGTTTTGTCTTAGGCTCGGGAAATTATTAGGATTTGGACAAAACGCAAGTGAAATTATTCCCTAATTTCACGAGTATACCATTTGATTACCTATTAATATCATGGGTGACGAATGACGTTAGCAATCTTGGATTTTGACATGTTTATCCTGGATCGTATCGATGGAGAACTCCTGCACTCTCTCGAACGTTTAGAGCTTAAGTTTGGCTTAAGTGGTTCAGAGTTTTTCGACAAAATACCTGTTAGAATCGTTCTTGATGTGCTCGTTCGTGAGTTCAGGTTTTCTAAAGCGTCTTTTTGTGCCCTGACATCTTCATTCATGACGTTTTAAAACTTCGTCGCCATCTTGACACTGGGACGTACGGAAGGTTGCCATGGCAATTTTGTAATTTCACATGTGAAATTAGAAATTAACGCTGAAATTTCGCGCCAAAATTAAGGAGTAATTCGTCACCTATGATATTATACTAGTAATACATGTACTCTAGAGAACCGTTTCTTTCAAATTTCGTCTTATTCTCGTGCATATCTACGCATAATTTATGAAAAGACAAAGGTTCACGTTCCCTGAGAGCTCTATTGGGAAAACAAAACACACAAGCGAAAGAGGTCTATTAACGGGCCCGAAAAGCTGTTGTCGTTTACATTAAAGCTCGAGGTTTCAGTAGGTTTACAGATAATATGATAAAACTATCAGTATATAATCTGAATATTTGATTTCGGGCCCGTAAAGTTACCGGGACTTTCGAGAAACGGGCCCCAGGAGCATAGTCCTTGGAGTCTCGGTTCGGTCAATCCTGGGCCGGGTTGTTCAAAGCAGGGTTAAGATAACCCAGGGTTAGTGCGAGGTATAAATTCAGATATGAAAGCTTAAAAATCAAATTCAGTGTAATTCTTTTAGCCTGTAATATACTAAATTGATGCTCTATAACGAATAGTGAAAATTATCCGGAAAATGCTTTTGAACAAAAGAACAAGAAACCCAGAATAAACCTTAATCCTGAGTTACGACTAATGGGCTTTCGAACAAGTGGGCCCTGGAGTCTACTGTGAGCTGTGACGTCATCGACAGAGACTCGCCCGCTCTTTTCCAGACTTCGCGCGGACAACGGGCAACACAAAACGCCTAGGGACTAGGCTGAGGTCCCAGGGCTTTTCTCTTGGACTCTGGGAGGGTCCCATCCCAGATTTACACGAGAAAGGCCCTGAAGATGGCTTACACGACACCCGGGACATAAGGGCAGTTCTGACCTCGTGGGTGCAACTTGAATTTTTCTTTCTTTAGGTGGAATGCGTCTTCATGACTGATGGACTCATAACAGAACAAATTCAACATAACCTTATTTTAAAGGAAAAGGATAAATACAAGGATATTAAGCTTCAGCCTCTTAAAGGAGGCCGTGGGTGGTTTGGATTCCGCTTCCTTAACCAAATCAAATGGGCAGCGGCGAAATTTAACTTTCAGTACCTACTTAGAATTGATGATGACTACTTCTTGTGCCCAAAAAGGCTTCTTTTTGAGCTTCCATTGAGACCGAAACAAAATCTAGTCTGGGGATTTTTCCACTGTCAAAAAGGAATCACATGGGTGGATGATGCATTTATGATATTCTCCGAAGATGTTATTCAGAAGTTCTTGGCGCAGAACGAAAGCTCGATGTTGTGTCATCCACAAGCGGACCAACAAGTCATGTTGTGGCTGAGCAGTATTCTAAACATAACATACTTCCACGATACCAGGTTACATCATCAGCCTCCAGCGTCATATGTTCCTCGATTTAGTCACATCTCGAATGTTTGTGACTCCCATTTAGGCGCGCATGGGGCATATGGCAAGACCATGTATTATCTGGGGCTAAGAGCTAATGACAACGCTAAAGATGTTTCAGCTATTCCTGATTTTGCAAAATTTTGTAAAACCACAAAGTTTGATCACCGTGCATTTGGTGGTGTGTGGCGACATGAACCCCAGCCCTGCAAAGATAACCCAGCGTGGGACTTGGGAGATAAAATGTGGTTTGGTAAGGAAGTTGTTCAAGGAGTGTAATCTGGAAATTAATTTTTTAAAAAATAAAAACGATAGAGGGCCGTGTTTTACAGGATGTCAAAGAGTGGAATTTCCTTGTCATCTTTAAATTCAATGGTAAATAAAAATTTGATACTGTTGTGACTATTCAAATGCTGCGAGAACCTTTAGCACAATGACGCCTTAACCTTATATATATCAACGCGCCGAAACCAAACTAGAAGAGAATTGTTAAACAATAAAAATGGAGGCGATGAAAAATGTTCGTAGTGCGCATGTTTTTGACTTCAAATTATTAAAGGACTTTTATTTGGTATTTGGGATTTATTACAAATTTCATTTGATTCGGGAATTATCTATAGGTGAAGGGAAATATCATAAAAAAAAAACAATTTGACTTATTTTACTTGGTGTTCAACTCCTGCACATCAGCACTGATCAAACGACATCCTCTCCCGAAATGAGAAAATGATTTCTGTTGATTCAATCTCCTTGGTCTTGTTGAAGGATAAAGTTGACTGAAGAGTTACGTTAGAGTCACTTGTGGCATTTGCCACGATATATGTTTTTAGATGAGTTGTTGTAAGCGTTCTTGTTGATTGGTTTGAGTAAGCTACTTCACTACTAGTAGGTTTGGTTCCTAAGTTAATTGATGATCGATAGAAAGTTTCTCCTGACATGAATTCAGTGCAAAGGAGATGTACCAATTTGGTGCATCTCCGCGGTAACACTTCTGTTCATGAAATATGTTTAATTAGAGCCTTTGGCAGATGACAAAGCCTTGTTTATATTAAGTGTTTTGTCCAATTTAACATTTTTGACCTTAATCTGACCTTGCTTCGATATTTACGATATTGACTTAAGCTCAATAGTGAAAACTTCGGTTGAAGAGTCATTTCGACAAAGCAATTATCTCGAAGGTTTTATGCTAATGAGACTGTTTTAACCAATCGGATCAGACTTACGCCAGCATTCGGTTTGCACTAAGCAGCTAGTTTCCTGGCTGATATAAAAATGGGTGTAACACTGATTTAGCAGAGAATTGTAAAATAGGAGTTGAGTTAACTTAGTGACATTGGACTAAAGAATAAAAAGGAGTCAATTGAACAAAGCATAACGAGCTGCACGGTCTTAGCAACCAAAAAAGCCCCTCAGTATCCAGCTGAGATAGCTGAGTAAAAGTCAGCTATCTCAGCTGGATACCCAGTAGCTTGCAACATTCCCTATTCCCTTAATCTCTGATCGTATTTCGCATCTAATATGATAGAGGCGTCAATTTTCACGCAATCATGTCATCATCCTGGGGCGACAAATAAAATTAATTAAAAATGCGGTATCAAACAAAATGTCCGGAAAAAATAATTCAGTGCCTTCTAAAAAGAACATTTTAAAGTCTGCGGTCGATTTCATTGCCAGCGTGTTATATATCCTAGAAGCACTCAGGCATAATAACATCATGCCAGGACTTCTACCTGGATGAACCAGAAAGGATATAGAACAACAGCCTAATATTTTTTTTTCGGCTACGGGTCGAAACGCTAAACGTGTTATATATCCCAGAAGCGCTCAGGCATAATAACATCATGCCAGGACTTCTACCTGGATGAACCAGAAAGGATATAGAACAACAGCCTAATTTCTTTTTTTCGGCTACGGATCGAAATGCTAAACGTGTTATATATCCTAGAAGCGCTCAGGCATAATAACATCATGCCAGGACTTCTACCTGGGTGAACCAGAAAGGATATAGAACAACAGCCTAATTTTTTTTTTTCGGCTACGGGTCGAAACGCTAAACGTGTTATATATCCCAGAAGCGCTCAGGCATAATAACATCATGCCAGGACTTCTACCTGGGTGAACCAGAAAGGATATAGAACAACAGCCTAATTTCTTTTTTTCGGCTACGGATCGAAATGCTAAACGTGTTATATATCCTAGAAGCGCTCAGGCATAATAACATCATGCCAGGACTTCTACCTGGATGAACCAGAAAGGATATAGAACAACAGCCTAATTTTTTTTTTCGGCTACGGATCGAAATGCTAAACGTGTTATATATCCTAGAAGCGCTCAGGCATAATAACATCATGCCAGGACTTCTACCTGGGTGAACCAGAAAGGATATAGAACAACAGCCTAATTTCTTTTTTTCGGCTACGGATCGAAATGCTAAACGTGTTATATATCCTAGAAGCGCTCAGGCATAATAACATCATGCCGGGACTTCTACCTGGGTGAACCAGAAAGAATATAGAACAACAGCCTAATTTCTTTTTTTCGGCTACGGGTCGAAACGTGTTATATATCCTAGAAGCGCTCAGGCATAATAACATCATGCCAGGACTTCTACCTGGATGAACCAGAAAGGATATAGAACAACTGCCTAATTTTTTTTTGACGGCTACGGGTCGAAATGCTAAACGTGTTATATATCGTAGAAGCGCTCAGGCATAATAATAACATGCCAGGACTTCTACCTGGCTGAACCAGAAAGGATATAGAACAACTGCCTAAATTTTTTTTTTTGCGGCTACAGGTTGAAATGCTAAACGTGTTATATATCCTAGAAGCGCTCAGGCATAATAACATCATGCCAGGACTTCTACCTGGATGAACCAGAAAGGATATAGAACAACTGCTTAAATTTTTTTTTTTTGCGGCTACGGATCGAAATGCTAAACGTGTTAGATATCCTAGAAGCGCTCAGGCATAATAACATCATGCCAGGACTTCTACCTGGGTGAACCAGAAAGAATATAGAACAACAGCCTAATTTCTTTTTTTCGGCTACGGGTCGAAACGTGTTATATATCCTAGAAGCGCTCAGGCATAATAACATCATGCCAGGACTTCTACCTGGATGAACCAGAAAGGATATAGAACAACTGCCTAATTTTTTTTTGACGGCTACGGGTCGAAATGCTAAACGTGTTATATATCGTAGAAGCGCTCAGGCATAATAATAACATGCCAGGACTTCTACCTGGCTGAACCAGAAAGGATATAGAACAACTGCCTAAATTTTTTTTTTTGCGGCTACAGGTTGAAATGCTAAACGTGTTATATATCCTAGAAGCGCTCAGGCATAATAACATCATGCCAGGACTTCTACCTGGATGAACCAGAAAGGATATAGAACAACTGCCTAATTTTTTTTTGACGGCTACGGGTCGAAATGCTAAACGTGTTATATATCGTAGAAGCGCTCAGGCATAATAATAACATGCCAGGACTTCTACCTGGCTGAACCAGAAAGGATATAGAACAACTGCCTAAATTTTTTTTTTTGCGGCTACAGGTTGAAATGCTAAACGTGTTATATATCCTAGAAGCGCTCAGGCATAATAACATCATGCCAGGACTTCTACCTGGATGAACCAGAAAGGATATAGAACAACTGCTTAATTTTTTTTTTTTTTTGCGGCTACGGGTTGAAATGCTAAACGTGTTAGATATCCTAGAAGCGCTCAGGCATAACTATATCATGCCAGGACTTCTACATGGATGAACCAGAAAGGATATAGAACAACTGCCTAAATTTTTTTTTTACGGCTACGGATCGAAATGCTAAACGTGTTATATATCCTAGAAGCGCTCAGGCATAATTATATCATGCCAGGACTTCTACCTGGATGAACCAGAAAGGATATAGAACAACTGCCTTTTTTTCCTACGCGTCGAAGTTCTAAACGTGGTATTCTTAGAAGCGCTCAGGCTTAATAATATGCCAGGTTTCCAGCGACTGATTTTAGCTGATTTTGCGGTGCGCAAGAATGGATAATTTACCCGACTTGTAAACAGATATTTCCTTCAGCCGATTGTGTCTCATGCAGGAGAATGTCATGTCTGCGTTGTTTTGTTTCTACTGAAGTTTTATCAAAGAAAGCTTAATAGGGAGATCGCAATTTATACTCTTACGAACTATAAATTAGGGCTGACCTGGAAGACGCGTTGAATTGTGCCGCCATCCTTCAAAATATAATCTGGCTGCGTTTAGGGAGACAATTTCCTCTTCCATCCAGATTTACTTGGTATATGTGTTTGCGAGAATCTTCAGACAAAGAATTGGGTATACACTGATTCGAATGGCTTGGCGATACTAAGTGCTTAAGTCTACTTACCGATTACAACATGTTTTGGAAGTATTGAGAAGCGCGCCAAACGAGGTTGTCACAGCGTTCTCGAGCGAACACGGCGCGACCTGGATTGATAAAATTACCATTACATGCAGCTATCATGCCAGTGATTTCTCCTTTCGTCGCATAGTGAATAGTTTTTGAGCACATCCTCGACTCTCGAAACATTTGTCTTGTGACGCTATAGAAGTTGCTTCTCCCGCGAACCATAGGTAGATTTCCCGCTTAACATAATGTTTGATAATTTATGCAAAAGTTGACCTCGTGAAAGTCAGCAGTGCATTAATCGACTCAAAAATAAACAGACTTCCTACAGGGTTTTGAACACGGTTTTAATTAAAGTACTTTACGAGCGCTGCGGTAGTTGACCGCAAAAGTGTTAAGGTGATGGATACTCAACTGGATGATTACGTCACTTCATAGCAACCAGACGGTACGAATTTTTTAACTTCCGGAGCGCTGAGGCTCGTAGTGAATCGTCTGTTTGTTGTGAGAACCAGATAGTTCCCCAGAAAGGCTCTTCAACAGAATGACAAACTTTCCCGTTCATGACCCATCTAGTTCTTTTAAATTTTAAGAAGAGAGTTACCGACAGGTATTTAGCCAGCATTTCGAGCTAAGTTTGATGGAAGTTGTGCTTATTTTGGGTAAAGTTAGCGAGTTTATGATTTTTCGCATGTTGTAGTTCGCTGTATATAACAAATTTTTCCTGTGTCTTATTTTGGCCTTTGAAAACTGATTTACACCCAGTCCCGTTTTAACTTGGCAAATAGTCATTTCCCAGGTTGTAGGTGAATCCTTTTCACATTAAAATAAAATTTTCTATTATTGAAAGAGCATACCAGTTTCAGTTATCTCTCAAAATTTGAGCCCGGTGTACCGAATAGGTCCCGAGAAAAGCCCAAAATTGACAAAGATTAACGTTTTGCCACCCAACAATTTAGCAGTATTTGATTGCTGCTATTTCCTTTGTTACTGATTACAAAAAAGCTAAACTTGCACAAACTGCTCATATTAACCACCTCCTTCAATTTTTTAACTTAATAGTGAAAATCTATCCTACGGAAATGGACTTTTAATACTTTTCATGTTTTTGCAAAAAAAGAGAAATTTTGTTGTCTATGCACCTATAAACCAACCAACATGTGCAAAAAGGTGAAGTTTTCGCTAAAGGAAACTTCAACTTAAAGGCTTGGTTGAAACTCGTTGGAAATATGCTATCGCATGAGGAACTCGTGCCAAATGTGCACTTTTCTATAGAGGGCGCTTGAAAATAGGGTCCTTTCGATATTTTTGACCGCGCACTCCTGAGAACTAGGTAGTCGCATGTAAGCGAGGCTTAGAGGACACAAGATGGCTGACTCTGCTGCAGGCAATTTTCACTGTAAACCGGTTCCTTGGTTAAAAGAATACAAAGGGGCATTCAAAGCTCAGGAAAACGTAAGGTTGAACTGGTAGAACTTTGTGAGAAAAGTGAGGAGATGAAAGTCCCAAAAATTGCTGTATATAGGGTATGTATTTTCTTCTTTTGATTTCTGAAGCCTGTCTATGTGCTTGATATTCCATAAACATACGTTTGAGAATCAAAACGTTTGGTCTTTTCGGTTGTTTTTCTCTGTGACAGGTTTTGTTTTATTCAGATTCGAAGGTTTATATTTTCGTTGTAGCACTTGTAACATGAGTAAAAAGTAGATGCCTCCTGAATTGAAGATCTAAATCAATGGATGCATTATTTTAAGTCTCAAACCTTCTGGATCATTTATGACTTCAGCACTAAGTATTAAAACAGTAGTTCAAAGTCTGTGAGCCTAGTAACTGAACTTATTGGCTGCTTTACAGTCTATCAGTGTGAACAATAGGAGATACATATTTGTCATATTGGTCCTCCTTTAAACAGGGCAGATGGAGGTTGCCGGCACATAGCTGCAGCATTGTTTGATCTAGAAG